CACACGTCTCGGCACCCACATGGCGAGGATCTGCGTGATGGAGCGGGTGCCTTCATGCTCCGTTCAGAGTTGCAGCATGTCTTTATTAAGAGCACGAACTTGTACGCACTGGTCAGTTCATTGCGGTCGCTGCCGGTGGCCAGTGGCCCTACGAGCGCCAGCTGCATCAGGGGTGCCCCGCTTCCCCTCTGTGTCGCGGTGCAGGGGGGTGAATGAAACCCTGTTCCATCGGATCTGGGGGTGCTCCTGCAGTGAGGACGGCCCCACCTTCGCCCAGTCCGAACACCTAGTCGCACAGGCTGGGGCCAACCACGAGGTGAATCCGAGTTTGGATTCCAGCGTTGGTCTGCTAGGCGGCCCGTGTTAGTAGGTCGACCCTGCCAGGTCAAGGGTACCCTTGTGTCCGTGTCCTGTGTCTCGCGACACATGCTTCGTACATTCCTGTGGCGATGTGGCTCTCGAAAGGATCTTGTGTCCTCTCGCGTGTCCTCTCCAATCAAACCCGATGGAGAGAAGGTTTTGAAGCAAACGTTGAAACACAGATTCAGCCGATCTGTGCATATGCAATGCGGAGAATAGCTGCGGCATCAACACGACGCCAAAAAGCGTTGTGGACGCGAGCCTTGGGCTTGGACGCACGCCGCGCACGACTACCCAAACAGCGCAGTTCTGCAAACGATAACTTGGTTCTGGAGGTTTGCACAGACACGCAAAACACCGATCAGCTAAGCGTTAGCTGGCGCCTGCCTCACCCGCATGTCCCGTCCCCATCCTCCTCCCCGCATCCCCCCGCTTTCGCCTCATGACTCAAAACGTCGCCATACAAACCGCTGCGATGGCACGGCCTTGCCGCAATCATCTACCATTTCACATGTTCGCGATGCGACTGTGTTTGGCGGCCATTGCCGCCGACGCTTGGAGTGCGCCCCAACCGCTTGCGTTGGCCCCCTCTACTTGGTTACGTCGCTGTGCTCGGATACCAAGCGGGCGGTATAACGCCAACACGGTCACGCGGCGCCAGGGACTGCACTTGCCTTCTTCGGGTAAGGAGGGAGGACGAGGTCAGACGACGGATGGTGGAGCGGGTAGAAAAAGAGCAACGATGAATGAGGAATAAGGGGGGAGGAAAGGGGCGCTCTCCCGCCCGAGCTGGGCGCCTTCGACCCCATCCAGGGGGCGAGAAAGGAGGAGGAGGGAGCAAGGAGGAGGAGGAGGACGACGGAAAGCAACGTATCATCGGTCCGCATATCTACCAGATGCTGGCGATTGGGGTGCGCGCATTGCTCGAGGCACGTCAAGCCCGCCCCATACTGGATTCACGAATTCCTCCCAACTGTGTAAACACCCTGGTTTCCGTACCCTTTCCTATAGAACTGCCTCGCAACAGAGGGGCAGTGAATTCCAAACCCGAGCCTCTGGTTGAGGGGGTTGCCTCCCCAGGGCCTTACTTGCCCTAACTTTCGGGACGGCGAGGAGGACGTGGAGGTGGGGGTGTGGAACTTGGAAGCTGACGTTGAGGCCTTGCGGTCGCCAGATTTTTGTTTGTTGCTTGCGTTCGGAGATGGGCGCTGAATTGAGCAGGAGGATTGGAAGTGCAAAGCGCAATTTCCAGACATTGCACACTATTTGGTCTCATTCTGTCTTGGTGAGGCAGCAGAAGGTGAAAATGTTCAACGCGTGTGTGGTGTCCAAGTTGATGTACGTACTGTTTGCGGCATGCCTCAACGAGGCCGAACGACGCAGAGCAAACAGCTTTCAGAATAGATGCTTGCGAAGGATTTTCCGCATACAGCCGTCGTTCATCAGCCGGGTGTCCAACGCCACTGTCTTGAGCATATCGAAACAATCAAAATTGAGTGACTGCCTCGCCAGGCGACAGATCATTTTTATGGGCCAACTTGCACGCCGACCAAGAACGGACCCTGTCAGAGCTTCAGTGTTTGAGCCGGACTCGCTTGTCGTCCGTAGACCTGCAGGCCCAAGAAGGCGAGGCAGACCGCGACAGACGTGGGGAAATCTAGTATGGAACAACTGTCTGAAAGTCGCCGGCTCGCACGAGCGACTTGCTGCCTACTTCCGCCAAGAGGGCGGCGCAACTCGCGCGTGGGAACAGGCCGTCAAAGTCTGGCCTGGACGCTAAAGGCATTCGTCCGCTAGGCCGCTTCGTCGGTTTCACCCTGCTCACTCATGCACCGTCTGGTGCAAGGCTTACCTGACCTGACCTGTTCGAAGATGGCCTCCCCAGGGCCTCACTTGCTCTAACTTTCGGGACTGCGGGGAGGACGTGGAGTTGGGGGTGTGGAACTTGGAAGCTGACGTTGAGGCCTTGCGATAGCCAAATGTTTTTATTGCTTGCGTTCGGAGATGGCTCAGGTGGCCAGTTTCGCAGCGATCCCCGTCGTGGACGGGCGGGAGCGGCCCTCATTGTGATGGAGTCGGCCCTGAGGGGCTTGCGGAGGGCCCTCAGTTTCGCCGCGACCCCTGGGGGCCGACGGCACGTCCCGCGGGACGAAATTCGAGCGTCTGAACTCGCCTGTCGCAGGTTTTCTGGACCTCTCAGCTTCGCCACTGACAGCGCTGCCCTGCACAACGGCTGGCAGACGACGAGGTTCCAGCACTGTCGAGGCGTCGACTCCGATGCGCGGTTTCGCGCGCGTGCGGCCCTTCTGGAGCAGGAGGAGGGTGAGATCCAGGTCTTGTGGTTCCCGTCTCGTGTGGGCCCCGAGAATGCCACCGTCGCCCCGCAGGGGCGGCTGTTCGCCACTGGGAACGGCTTCGCTGATAACCTTGCGTGGGAACGGCATGCTGATACCCTTGTTCTTGGACGGACGGCCTGGCTGGCCAGCGCCCTCCAGACACCGATCTCTTGGATTGCACGGCGGTGCTCGTCAGGCGCCGAGCGGCCAAGGCCATGGTGGACCCCAACACATGTTACCCCGCGGGTCCCTCGCGGCCGGGCCGAGGGCCCTCGCGAGGCTCCTCGGAGCAGGCACGGCCTGGTCCGCTCGGAGCGCAGGTGGCTGCGTTGTCTTTGCCACACAGTGGTCCCCGCTGGGCATGCGTTGGGATTCTCGGCCACGGGGTGCGACGCTGTGCTCCAGGACCTGTCGCTTTTTGGTGATTGCGGTTCGGGACAGTAGGGCGGCGACGGTGGGGAGGACAGCCTGTCACCCTTCGCGCGTCTTGCATTGCTGGCCCAAGTCTGGGCTGCAAATCAGTGTGGCGTGCGGTAAGCCTGGGCGCCGGCGATAAGCCGTCAACCTTGGTTACAGCCAGGAAGCTCTCCGAGCTTCTTCGAGAACAGGTCGAAGCAACATAATATCTGCAACGCAGAACTAGTTTCTCGAATATGGCTCGAGTAGTGTGCCGAGCTCAGGTCTCTCGACGTTATATTCCGAAACTGTCGATCACGACCGATCGTTGGGTATACTTCAGAGCTCTGTAGCTGCACTCACCTTCAAGCTTTAGCCAAAGCCCGTTCGAAGCAGCAGAGCAGTGGCAGAGTGGCACTACCTGTTCGAAGATAGCTCGAGTAGCAGAACGATCTCGGCTCTCTCGAGACTGCAGAGCGGAGCTCTCAATCACGCACGCGTTCTGTCGACGGGAGAGCTCTGGAGCTGCTCCAGATCCCGCAACCTGTTAAACATAGCGTTCAAAGCAGCAGGGTAATTGCAGAGTGTTTTTTGTCGAAGGTAGCTCGAGTAGCAAGCCGAGTTCAAGTTTCTCGAGGCTGCAGATTGAAGCTCGTAACCACGCCCGCGTTCCCTCTGTGGGAGGGCCCTGTAGCTGCTCTAGACTCAGAACTTTATTAAAAGCACAGTTCGACGCAGCAGAGCAGCTGCAGAATGATGCGAGCTGTTCGAGCATAGCTCGAGTGGCAGACCGCCCTCTGGTCTCTCGGCATCTCTCGACTGCAGGGCGAAGCTCCCATTCATGCCAGCGTTCCCTCTACGGGAGAGTTCTGGAGCTGATCAGGATCCCGAGATTTCATCAACAAGCCGTTCAAAGCAGCAGCAACGCAATTGCAGGGTGATCCTAGTTTGTGCGAAGATAGCTCGAGTAGCAGATCGATCTCAGATCTCTCGAGGCTGCAGACGAAATCTTTCGATCACGCCCGATGGTTATCAATCGAACAGCCACACACGTGCAGACAATATGGTCCCAGGGCGAGTTACACTGCCTCAGTGCTTTTCCCTCTTCTAAGCGCCAGGATGGAGCTGTGATCAACATTGCTGACAAGAGATCTTCGTTGTGCCAAAAGACCGTCCCACCCCAAACGATCGGTCGAATCCCGAAATATCGATGTTCACCTACCCTGTTCACACGAGTTGGTACGCCGAGACACTCTTTTCGGCCAACTAGCCTGCCTGTGCTGCCCACGCACGCCAGGCGGGAGCCATTGCAGAGCGGACCCCTACAACCCTCGTCAAAAATAAACTGAGGGATTATGTTTTCGGTGATTGTATGGTCAGCGCTACTCCAATGCTGACGCTAGATATCTGACGTGGACGCAAGGGCTTCAAAAATCCGACGACCCCTCCGCAGCACTGAAAAACCCAGTTTCTAACAAATGCCCGAGAAGATCGATCGTCGTGATTTCCAACTGCGTTATTTTTGACGAGGCTTGTAGGGGCCAAGTCGAGCCGGATACTCCCGCCTCCGCGCCAGGCGGACCGTGGAACTCCGCAGCACGCCTGGCCCTGCCGGGACAGGCACCCGCCGCTCCAGCGAGGGCTGCCCAAGACACGAGGCCCTTGGCACACCGAGACACACGGAGCACACGGAGCAGAGAGCAAATGCACCGACGGACCCCGCCTCGGATGCAGATGTTCCTCCCCTGCGAGAGCTTCGATGTCGCAGGGGGTACGACACCTCCGAGAGGTGGGGTTCCAGGGGGGGGGGCATCGGGGAGCCGCCTCGCCCGACTGCACCCTCCTCTTCCCGCTGCCCCCTCGCCCCCTATCGACCCCCCGCTCTCGCTGCCCCCCCCTCCCGGGGACCCTCCAGCGGCTGCAGCGTGCAGAGGTACTCCGCCACCTCGCCGGGCGGTGTCGCGGCCGCCGCCTGGGAAGGCCGGGAAGGGCTGGCGGAGGGGGCTCCCTCTCCTCTCTCCCCCTCCCCGCTCCCTTCCCCTCCTCCCCCCTCCTCCCCCTCTTGCCCCGTCCTCTTCGCCGTGCTGCAGGGAGGGGGAGCCGCAGCCAGCAGACGGCTATGCCTTCGAGCCCTGTGGAACTGGAGGATCGGATCGAATCGGCCGTCGTCGGACGTGCCCGTCACGCGAGCAGCTGCTGGGGTGGTGGGGCACTGATGAGCACCACAGCCCAAGGAATTGGAGGAGGGGGCAGGAGGAGGAGGAGGAGGAGGAGGAGGAGGAAGAGGAAAGGAAGGAGGAAGCAGTGAAGCATTCAAGTCCTGTCTGAAAAGGCTCACAGGGAGCAGGGCAAAAACTAATGCACATCCAGATCAACAGCTCTCTGGATCGCAGCGCGCCCGCCCCAGAGGCGAAATCAGGAGCTAATTCGCGCCAGGCATCACGGTCTTTATCACGGTCTTTAGCTTTTTGCTTCCATTACTCGTGACCTCCATGGGTGCAGAACCTCCTCAGCACGTGCTAACATGTCATCCACGGCCCCTTAGACGGCCTCTCTGGCCGTTGCCAACCAGAGAAGGAGGAGGAGGAGGGGAGGGAAGGGAAGGAGGAGGAGGAGAAGGGAGGATGGATGGAGTAGCGCAGCGGAAGAGGAGAGGTGCTCCACCGACCACTGCGGCTCAGCTGTGCTCAGCAATGAGCAGAGGATGGAGTGGGGAGGCGGGAGGAGGGAGGGAGGGATTAGAGGGAGAGAGGGCTGAGAGAGAAGGCAATGCGGAGGATTGAGGACGAGGGGGGGGGATGTGGGGAGGACGAGGAGACGAGGAGGCCCCCCGGAAACAAGGAGGCATCAACGATGCTGCAACGCCCCCCCCCCTCCCAGGTCCTCTCCTCACGGATCTCTCCGCCGCGGCGAGCGCCCTCTTGAGAGCAACGAGAACGCGCGGCGGGGCTGCCGCTCGGGCGAGGCCCCGTTTTCCGTGAGGGATCCGCCCGTGGTCCTCCTGGCCAGAACGAACGCGAATCCTCCCTCCTCCTCCTCCTCCTCCCTCCTCCTCCTCCTCTCTCCCTTCCTCCTCCTCCACCCTCCTCCTCCTCCTCCTCCTCCTCCTGCTCCTCCCTCCACCTGCTCCTCCTCCCCCTCCTCCTCCTCCTCCTCCTCCTCCTCCTCCTCCTCCTCCTCCTGTTCTTCCCCGCAGACACATCCACACGTCACGGTGTCGGCCCTGCAGCTCGTGCGCGTGCTTCTCGCACCGCGAGCGACGTGCCAACGGAGCGCGAGGCAAAGACAGGGAGGCCGACGCGGATGGATTTCGAGGCGCTGCGTGCGCAGCCCAACGACGAACGCAAAGAGGTACAGTCAGGGCTTTGACCTAAGGAACCCTAAATAAGGAACGAGGCCCCTGTTTTTCCCATAAGTTAAACTTCGATCTCCCATCGAAACCCTAAGCACAACCAAAGGCGAACTACAAAACAACTAAGGAACACCGAGCCCCTCCCCAACGAAAAAGGTTCCTTCCTCAGCGCCCCGACTGTAGGACGAGAAAGCTCAAGCGAGTGGCCAGCGATACCTCCGTTTTGGCAAGGACCTACCCCCCTCCATCGATGCAGGTGGTCCACAACTTCAGCGCCCGATTCATGAGATGCGCGGAGGTCTTAAAGCGGGAGTCCCATTTTGAAAAGTCGCCACCCAGCATCCGTTCAACTGTCGCAAACATTGAAACTGTGGGTGTGAAGTCCCACGCGAGACCAGCATTTTGAAAAAACGAGCCGGCCTCCATCCTTGCACTGCTGGAAGCTTTCAAAACGAATGCACCTGGCACTGGGGCGAGAGCCACAACTCGAGAACGAGCAGGCCCCCAGCCTTCTAACTGTTGCAAGCGTTTGAAGGCGCATGTGCCCAGCACTAACGCGGGAGCCGCAGGTTGGAAACCACCGGCCCTCCATCCTGGTAGGCCGTCACTTTTGTAGCCCAAGGAGAAGGAGCTGCAATGAAGCTCCAAGCGAAACGCCCGGCCTGGCATACGGACACGTCGGGTGGCTCGACAGCTCACAATGAAGAGGGTTGGGCGGGGAAAGAGAAAGAGAGAGAGAGAGAGGGGAAGACAGAGTGAGAGAGAGAGCAGGAACAGGAGGGGGAGGAGGAGGGAGACAGGAGGGGGCAGGGGGAGTAAAATCACGAGGGGGGTACAAGTAGGAAGAAGAGGAGTAGGAGGAGGAGGAGGAGGAGGAGGAGGAGGAGCAGGTTCGGACCTCCTCGAAGGCATGAGTCGAGCTCACAACTGCCGAGCGGGTGCCATATCCCATGGATGCTACAGCCGAGGAGGAGGAGGAGGAGGAGGAGGAGGAGAAGCAGGAGGAAGAGGAGGGGAAGGAGGAGGAGGGGAGAATGAGGGGAAGGATAATGAGGAGGATGAATGAGGTGGAGGAGGACGTGGGAACGGACCAGGCCGAGGGCGCCGCCTCTGCCATCGTCCCCTCCGCGGCACGAGGCTGGCAGCGCAGCGGACACCTGCGCATAGTTTGGGGAGGCCTCCTCCCTCCTCCATCCTCCTCCTCCTCCTCCTCCTCCTCCTCCTGCCTCCTCCTCCTCCTCCTCCTCCTCCTCCGCTCCTGCTCCTACTCCTCCTCGTCCTCCCCTCCTCCTCCTCTCTCCTCCTGCTCCCTCCTGCTCTCCTGCTCCTCCTGCTGCTCCTCTCCTCCTCCTCATCCTCCCCTCCTCTCCTCCTCCTCTTCTCCTTCCTCCTCCTCCTCCTCCCTCCTCCTCCTCCTCCTCCTCCTCCTCTCCTCCTGCTGCTCCTGCTGCTCCTGCTCCTCCTTGTCCTCCTCCTCCTCCTGCTCCTACCCCCTCCTCCTCCTGCTCCTCCCCTCTCCTCCCCCTCCTCCTCCTCCTCCATCTCCTCCTCCCTCCCTCCTCCTCTTCCTTCCTCCTCCTCCCCCTCCTCCTCCTCCTCCTCCTCCTCCTCATCCTCCTCCTCCTGCTCGCTGCTCGCTGCTTCCTCCTCTCCTCCTCGTCCTCCTCCCTCCTCCTCCTCCTCCTCCTCCTCCTCCTCCTCCCTGCTCGCTGCTCGCTGCTCGCTCGGCTCCTCCTCTCCTCTTTCTTCCTCCTCCTCCTCCTCCTCCTCCTCCTCCTCTCCTCCTCCCCTGCTCGCTCCTCCTGCTCGCTCCTCCTGCTTGCTCCTCCTGCTCGCTCCTCCTGCTCGCTCCTCCTCCTCCTTCTCCTCCTCCTCCTCCTCCTCCTCCTCCTCCTCCTCCTCCTCCTCCTCCTCATCCTCCTCCCCGTCGTTGGGTCGTTCCAGAGGGGGAGGAGGAGTTCAAGAGTCCAGCTGCTCTCCGCGGCGAGGCCTTGGGGCTTGAGCTCCATCGTGCAGGCCAATACACGTACTGTGCACGCTGCGGGGTTTTCACGAGCGAGATGGGGTGCAAGATGATTGCCGCCTGCGGGATGTATCCTGCCAGCCCGACGGCAGCGTACCGCCTCTCGCTCCTGGCCCGATCGAGGCATCCTTACCGAGTGCAGCTCGCTCTCGAGGAGGCGTCCCGTTCCCTGCTCCCTTGGGAATGCGACGCCTTCAGGGAGCGAGCGCTCTGATCCGCATTTCTTTCTTCGGGCAGAGTTTTTGGCGGGGAGGGGTGAGGCACCTCCACAGTGTGCCCCCAGCCGCCGCCTGGACTGAAGGCTGGCTGTGGCAGGGATCCGAAAGGCGGGTCCTCGCAGCAAAACCTCCTCCTCTTGCTCTCCCTCCGCCTCCTCCTCCTCCTCCTCCTCCTCCTCCTCCTCCTCGTCCTCCTCCTCGTCCCTCCTCCTCCTCCTCCTCCTCCTCCTCGCCCTCCTCCTCCTTCTCCTCCTCCTCCTCCTCCTCCTCCTCCTCCTCCCTCCTCCTCCTCCTCTTCTTCCTCCTCCTCCTCCTCCTCCTCCTCCTCCTCCTCTTCCTCTCCTCGCCCTCCTCCTCCTCCTCCTCCTCCTCCTCCTCTCCTCCTCCTCTTCCTCCTCTTCCCCTTTCCTCCTCCTCATCCTCCTCTTACTCTTCCTCCTCTTCCTCCTCCTCCTCCCTCTCCCTGCTCCTCCTCTTCCTCCTCCTTTTCTTCCTCCTCCTCCTCCTCCTCCTCTTCCTCGTCCCCCCCCCTCCTCCTCCTCCTCCTCCTCCTCCTTCCTCCTCTTCCTCCTCTTCCCTCCTCTTCCTCCTCCTCCTCCCCTCCTCCTCCTCCTCCTCCTCTTACTCTTCCTCCTCTTACTCCTCCTCCTCCTCCTCCTCCTCCTCCTCTTCCTCCTCCTTTTCTTTCTCCTCCTCCTCCTCCTCCTCTTCCGCCTCCCTTTCTGTTCTCTCCCGCTGTCTGTCTCTCTCTCTCTCTCTCGCAGCCGCTGATGCTGCTCCAGGTTCGCGCCCGCGCGCCCGCGGACCGCGCCCGTCCGGCGCGCGCGGGGGGTCCCCAGGACGCAACTTGGTGACCTTACCCGAGGGGGGCCACCTCACCAGCCTATCATCTGATACTGAGGCCCACAGGGGGGGAGAAAGAGGAGAAGGAGTTCTCGCCGTTGTAGGCCACGTCCGTGGTATGCTCTAAACCATCCGGGCGAAAAGCGCATCGAAGAAAGCTTCGTGCTGAAACACGTCGAACAAGAACTGGGAAGCCCCAAGCTGGCCCTCCGCGGATGCGACGTCGCACAGCCGCTCGAACACGCAATGGCTTTGCAGCTTGTTGTGAGACTGGTAAGCTTGAGCCTGGCGTTGGTACATATTGCCGAGACTTTGCTGTGAGTGTATCCCGTAGATTTCCCAAGTTATCTGTCCTGGCACGGATTTGGTTTGCTCCACTTCCGTATGCCCATCGCTCGGCCTGTACGTGAAATGGACCCGATCGCCCCCATTGGGCGTTGGGGGCCGGCCTTGTTTTCAGCCACACGAGACGTACGCGGCTGCCCTCCCGTAACTCAGCTTGTGGCTCTCGCAGCTCTGCCGATGGCTCGCGTAGCTCAGCAGGGGGGCCTTGAAGTTCTTCTGATGGCTCTCGTAGCTGTGCCTGCGGCCCTCGTGGCTCAGCTCGCGGTTCTAGTAAGCATTCTGGTGGCTCTCGTCGCTCTGCCTGTGGTCCTCATAGCTCTGCTGGTGGATGTCCTTGCTCAGCGGGTGGCACAGCTCGTCGCCCTTGTAGCTCTGCGGAAGGCTTTCGTAGTTCTGCTCGTGACCCGCGTGACTCAAGTTGCAGCCCTCGTAGCTCCAGCTGAAGCCCTCGTAGCTCAGCTGGTGGGTCTCGGAAATCTGCTTGCGGTCCTTGCAGCTCAGTTCGTTGCACCAGTAGCTCCGCAGGAGGTTCTGGTAGGTTTTCCTGTAGTCCGCGTAGCTCTGGTTGTGGCCCTCGTAGTTCAGCAGGTGGCCCTCGTAGGCCTCGTAGCTGTGCGTGTGGTCCTCGTAGCTCAACACGCAGTCCTCGTTGCTCTGCCGGTGCTTCTCATTGCGGCCCCCGTAGCTCCGCAAGTGGCCTCCTGGGCTTTGCAGTTCGGCTCGTCGCCTTAGTAGTTACGCAGGAGACTCTTGTAGTTCTTCCTGTATTCCGCGTAGCTTTGGTTGTGGCGCTGGTAGCTCAGCATGTGGCCCTCGTAGCTCTCGTAGTTCAGCTGGCGGTCCTCGGAGCTCTGCCTGTGGTGTTCGAAGCCCTGCCTGTGGCCCTGGTAGCCCAGCGCATGGCCCCAGTAGCTCGGCACGTGGTCCTCGTAGCTCGGCTGGTGGCTGTTCTTGCTCAGCAGGTGGTCCTTGCGGTTGAGCTCGTCGCTTCGGTAGCTTTGCAGGAAGCTTTCGTAATTCTGCTTGTCGCCCATTGTAGCCTGCGTAGTTCTGGTAGCGGCCCTCGTGGCTCTGTCTGTGGCCGTCGTAATTCAGATGGTGGGTCTCGGAGATCTGCTTCTGGTCCTTGTCGTTCAGCTCGTCGCCCTAGTCGCTTTGCAACAGGGCTAGGTCGGTTTTCCTGCAGTCCGCGTAGCTCTGGCTGTGGGGATGGAAATTCAGCAAGTGGCCCTCGTGGCTCTCGTGGCTGTGCCTGCGGCCCTCGCAGCACAGCTGGTGCCTCCAGGAAGTCAGCTGGTAGCCATCGTGGCTCAGCTGGTGGCCCTCGTAGCGCAGCAGGCGGTCCTTTTAGCTCAGCTGGTAGTTGTTGTAATCCTGTTCGTGGCTATCGTGGCTCAGCCTGCAGTCCTCGTTGCTCAGCTCGTGGCTCTCGTGGCTGGGGGAGGTGGCTCTCGCAGTCCAGCAGCTCAGCATGTGGCCCTTGTAGCACAACTTGTAGCTCTGGTGGATCAGCTGGTGGCTCTCGTAGCGCTGCTTCTCGTTGCTCAGCTCGCGGTCATCGTTGCTCAGCTTGTGGCTCTCGTGGCTCTGCTGGCGGGTCTCGGCGGTCGGCATGTGGGACTTGAAACTCTTCAGGTGGCTCTCGTAGCTGCGCGCGTGGCCCTCATACTCCAGTTTGTGGTCCCCGAAGGCCGTCCAGTGGCCCTGGAAGCTCTGCTGGTGGCTGTAGCAATTCAGAAGGCACGCTCCCTCCGTAGTCCCCGAGATCTGAGTCGGACCGGTCGGCTGCCAAGTCGCACTGTTTGACATTAAGGGTGTTCCTGTAGTCATGGCGGTTGTCGCAGCCCTGCGGTCGGTCTTAGTCGTGGGACTCGTAAGAAAATATGTCGTTGTCAACCACTCTGTAATACAAGTAGTAGTAGTAGTAGTAGTAGTAGCAGTAGTAGTAGTAGTAGTAGTAGTAGTAGCAGTAGTAGTAGTAGTAGCAGCAGTAGTAGCAATAATAAAAATAGTAGTAGTAGTGGTAGTAGTAGTAGTAGCAATAGTAGTAGTAGTAGTAGTAGTAGGAGGAGGAGTAGGAGTAGGAGAAGAAGAAACAGAAGGAGTAGTAGTAATAGTAGTAGTAGTAGTAGTAGTAGTAGTAGTAGTAGTAGTAGTAGTAGTAAGAGTAGTAGTTGTAGTAGTAGTAGTAGTAGTAGTAGTAGTAATAGTAGTAGTAGTAGTCGTAGTAATAGAAAAAGAAGAAGCAGTAGTAGTAGTAGTAGTAGTAGT